AATATTAATAAATGTTGATAATATATAGTTGTATTTATCCAAAGTTAATAAAATTTTCAAAAATTTTAGTAACAATACTATTAGCGATATGTACAATTATCTATAGTCACATTATGCAAATTACCTTAAGCTCAAGAAGCTTTGATGCCTATTACTAATACATGATAAATGCATCATGTTACTGCGCCACACCACGCTATCCATTTTCCCTACAACATTCCCATACTTATTTTGTATGCTCTGCAAACAAACTTTAAATTCAACCCTCCGGTTCGCGATTTCTAAAGCATGATGAATCCTCCAAACAATGGTCGGATGAGGTGTGAGCTATAATGGTCTGGCGATAGCTTGATCATCATGTTCTCTTGTACTGTCTCCGTCATCATCATTACTCATCATATCTTGATATTCCATAGCAATTAGGTCTCCAATATCAAATTCCTTATAATAAGTATTGTTGTCCATTACTCTCTTCCATGTTATTATCTTATACACATTGCCAATTGCTATGGTTTTGTAGTCCCAGTTTGAGTTGTCATCTCCAATCTTTTGTCCTGAATCATGTGACACATAGATTCCCTGGGTGTTCTCACAAACTGGTCTGTTTGCCACGGTTTCCCTTGACTGCCCTATTTGAATTGTATTATCAACCGCTAAGTCTATTCTTCTGATTGAGGTAGTTGTATTCCATCCAATCTTGTAGCAGGGGTACTCAGGTAATGTATTATAACCTTTTTCTCAATCATTCTCTAGCATAGAAATATCAGTCGTGGATGCATCACAGGTAAGTTGCAACCTATAACTGCTATATCTTTTCATGCACTTAAATGTTCTGCTCCTATGATTATCAGCCTTCTGTCTTTCAACCTTTTTGTGCCATCTCTGGTTTCAAGATCGATCGTGATATCCAGGTTAATATTGATAGTGTATCATGCTCCCTTGACATACTCAAATTTCCAGATGGTCCTCTTGGTCGCATCCATATGCTTGACCAGGGGTTTTTTTACTGGATTGTTTATTCAAACCATCTGCCTTATGGTCATCATAGTGTGAAGTGCCAATTTTATGAAAGTTTTGACACACATTGTCACTAGCTTCCTTTTAAGCTTTCAGCAAAGTATGTCCATCAGACGTCTCCACGATGCTGGGATGGTGCACAGCCTAAAAGTCTTGTCCCCTAGTGCACGTGTTTTTCAGATAATTACAAACATCATTTCTTCCTTTCTGAACTCTCATATGTCTGGAGCAGGCCTGTACACATTTTATTGAATTAGAGTAGCACCACCAGTATCAATCATATGTTAAACTACCTTGGTACAACCTAGCTCAAACATTGATTATGCATATATGCACTGTTCCATTTGCTTTACTTGCTTCACTTGTCTTTTATCTAATCCCTCAACTATTTCCAGTGCTTCCCTCTCTTGCATTTCTTTTGTTGGTGTTAGGATTTCTTTGCTCGATGCAACTAATTCCTCTACAGGCAGGGGATCACCATGTTGGACTAATATCTTGCTTGCATGCTTTCTTTCATGTTCTTCTATCTCCATTATTTCATCTTTCTCTTCGCTTAGATTAACTTTCAGCAGGTTATTCCTGATGTTATTTTCCTTCTTCGCAATCTCAGTTGAAATCAATGGTTCTTCTGCTTGGAATAGATAAGCCATAGGACCTGGTTCCTCAGATTGTATCCCAATACATGATATTGATGGTTCTTCCATTTCCGCATTGCCTTGTCTGTCCAAGCTCACTTTTTTTTGTTAGCTCATGTCATCCCTCTGGTTTGTCCCTTTCTCTCAGTTTTATTGACTTTATCTAAACCCTCCTTGGTTATCATTATTATTTCTTTCCTTTGGGAGAACCACACAATAGGATCCAAGGTCTCTAGTCGTATTTCATTATTGAAGTTGGAACCACCATTCGCTCTTTCTGTTGTCTCTTTTTCATCCTCCTCAAAGGAGATTAACTATTCTTCTTCATCTTTACTTATCTTCTACTTCTTACATAGGTCTTCAATCTGTAGAATGATTTTTCTGTCCTCATCACCAGGTCTGTTGCCGATCTTGTCAGTATGTATCTTCTTGGTTTTATCATTCGAAATCAGGATCTTCCCTTGCTTTCTTGATATAATTTCCTATCCATAGGAGTATACCATATCCATTTCTTCTTCAGTTTGAGACACGTTTTCATAATTATACTCGGAATCGCAGGATTTGAACTTCATCTTGATTAGGTGATTCTTCCTCACCAGTTTCATCTTTGATACAGCCTTCCTTTCCTTATTATTATTTCTTCTGGCCTGGTCATTCTTTACTAAATGATCTTTATTACAGTATTCCTTGGTCTCCAACTCAATACGAACAACCGGTATGTCATATCATTTTCTCGTTTCGCATATTTGTTGGCTTGGTTCTTTTACATGGTTTTTTAACTTTCTCACTTTGCTTAAACTTCTTTCCTCATCATCTTCAATCTCCATTACTACTTTGAGTAGTTCTCTTAGGTTAGTCACATTTGCCATAGCTAATAAAAACAGTATATCCTTTCTCAGCCCAAGCATAAGTAACCATCCTGCCATTTCCCTAGAATAGTCATCCTTGGGGTAAAGTTTTGTGAGTAATCTTCCAACCTATGGACATACTTACTCACTTTCTCATTCTCTTCTTGCTTGAATTTTTCTAATTCTTTCTCCTTCTGGCACTGCTACTCCAGCATTACAAAGTGATATAAGAACGTTGGCACAAAACTTTTTTTGTAATCGTTTTTATCATTCACCAGATAAAACAATCTTGGCAGTCGTCATACCAGTCTGTCGCATTATCTTTCAGGTATCTGCTACTTTTCTTAACTTCTTTTCTTTTGTTTATTTTCTTATTTTTGCAATATTTTTGTAAAACTTAACCCACAAATGTGGGTTCTCTCCTTCTTCGCTATTGAACCTGGGCATTCTAACATTGCAAACTTTCTTTTCTTCTTACAGGTTGTAAAAAGACCCTTTTTTGTCTGTCTTTTTACTATTAAATTTGGGAAGACAAATATTTAATTGTCTTTTTAAAATCTTATACTAAAG